TAGATAAATAGATATATAGACAGACAGACAGACAGATAGATAGATAGATAGATAGATACGGGATAGATAGATACATAGATAGATACGGGATAGATAGATACATAGATAGACAGATAGATAGATAGATAGATAGATAGATACGGGATAGATAGATACATAGATAGACAGATAGATAGATAGATAGATTCGGGATAGATGGATAGATAGACAGATCGATAGATAGATAGATTCAGGATAGATGGATAGATATGAGATAGATAGATAGATAGATACGGGATAGATAGATACGGGATAGATGGATAGATACATAATAGTTAGATAGATAAATAGATAAATAGATAGACAGACAGACAGATAGATAGATAGATAGATAGATAGATACGGGATAGATAGATACATAGATAGACAGATAGATAGATAGATAGATAGATACGGTATAGATAGATACATAGATAGACAGATAGATAGATACGGGATAGATAGATACGGGATAGATGGATAGATACATAATAGTTAGATAGATAAATAGATATATAGATAGACAGACAGACAGATAGATAGATAGATAGAATATGAGATGGACAGTCTCGTATTCTGTCTGCTAATCATTAACCTGTTTATCTAATACTAGTTGCTACATCAGACTAAGTCTTCACGTAAACAATGAAATGCAAACTCTTCACATCATGAACTTTTTTTTCAGAAGGATGGAAAACACCCAAGAGACTTCTAATGTTTCTTGTTGTTCATGCAGGGGCAGTCTTGATTAGTATTGTATTAAACAAATGTGTTATGCTGAAGACAGCAGGCTACCATCACTCTTGGGTCAAGTAGAGTCAGCAGAGTCCTTTTTTATTGCATTCTTCATGTTTAATACAGAGATCTGTCCCTTGGAGCAAAATGCTTTGAAGACATAATCCTACACAAATTGCTTAAGATTGCTTTGCATTTCCCTTCATAATGAAAACACCATTACAGTTTATGTTTTCAGCTACGCGTTGGCTCAGTGGGCAGTTTCAACACCCAAAGGCGATGTTAGACTTCCCGAGAGTCCTAAAATCACTTGGGTAAATCTCTTATATTATTTATAATTAGTTTTTTCATCAAACACAATGGAGTTTTTGACAAATTTCAAAGTATTTAATTTCTCTTGTGATAATGTTAACATTTTAGCATCTTTTTATGTTGCAGAATTAATGTTTCTGAAAACTTTTATTGGTATTGAAGCAGAGATTACTTTGTGTCCACATGAATGAGCTTTCAGCCTGAGCAGTAGATAGACTTGTAGAATGTATTATTTGAAAATGGAAAAATTAAAACGTTTTAGCATTTTATAAATATGAGCTGTTCTGAGTGTCGAATTATCTAATGAAAGAAATACTTGTCAAATGACAAATAAAGAAAATTATGTTTCCCAATACTAGAAAAGTATACTAGTTACATGAATACATATACTGTAGCCACCAACTTGCCTTATATCATAGTTATACCCATTATTACTTGCCTTCAGTAACCTATCTGATGTTCTGTGTCCAATCAAAATGGTACTTTAGTGTGCATACCTATCTCCTACTTAGGCATAAGAGTTCCCTTCTAAGAGTATCTAAGTTCTTTTGGACACAAGAAGCTTGATCTACATATTTCTTAAAGGATTAACAGATTGATGTAAGGTTCTACCTTTTTGTTTCCCTCTAAGGATTTAGATTATAGACTTAGGGTGCTCTCAACTCCCCACCCCCTTAACCTTGTGCCTAATAAACTTAATATTTTTCTCGTTTTCAATGCTTACCCCATATCTTTCCCTAACACTCCCCTTTCCTCTACAAAGGAGCATCATGATATTCCCCGAAGACAAGATTTTCACAATGTGGAACTAAGAAACATATATCATTACTCTGTACATAAGACCATGTTGTATAACACCATTGATTTTTTTTTTTTTAAGTATTCGTCTAATGTCCCACACTGTGAATCACAATCTGCTATGATGTGATATATGCAATTGTACAAATAAAAAGCAATATGATAAAATATAAAAAAATGTTTTTTTTTAGAAAATGGGCATGCCCTTTATTATGTAGTGTAAATTTGCAAAATGTCCCATGAATCATTAACTTTTAAAAAGTGCAGTTTTGATAGACAGAATTATAACTAAATAGCTAAAAGCACAATCAGAAAAAAAAACAGTCTTAACATTACTATATATAATTTTTCTTTCCATTCCCCTGGCCTGTGACTGTTCAGTAAGAACCTACTGAGAAGCCTTTGGTTTGTGAATTGAAATTAGATTTAACGTTCTCTTGGTTATGCCTCAGTAAGAATTGATCATTCCCCTCAGTCTTTGTTTTTCCAGCTCATGATATTGTCTGACAAAAGGCCAATCATCAGGCTTCCCATGGCGCGATGGTGTCATGAGCCGAGAAATCAGAGGTTAGCTTGCTGGAGCCAAATCTTGCGAAAAAATATCAGCACACAAGAGCTTTCCATAATATCTGAGTCCTGATTTACGAGATTCTGTGTCATGCAAAGTAAGGTTTAGAGACAGAAAAAAAGACTTTTGAAGTGTTTAAAACAAACCTGTTATTTTTCTATAAACCTCACTTAAAAGTTCAAGCTTTACCATTTTAAAATGAATCAACATCAGGCAGTCATTAAATTTAATCTTCAGGGTCTTTTTTGTAAATATTTTGTATATTAAGGTTTCTCGGTTGTATTTAAAGCTGGCACCATGAGACATGAAGGTCCCACAATGAAACAAACACAGGACTTGAAGGTCCCAATTAACCATGATAAAAAGGGAAAATTATACAATGGAAAATTAAATTACATATTCAAATAAAGTATGTACATCTAGGGAGCAGAACCTTGCTGTTTAATAGATGAACAAGGTTTTATAGAATCTTATAAATTCACCCTAGTAATACTTTTTGTGGATAGAATTTTTTTTTTAAATTTACAGAAAATTACAGTATTGGTAAAATCACATGAGGGAAATAAGTGTAATTTTAGTTTTTAAAAAATCATAAATTACCAACATAGTGGGTTTACCCACACCAAATGCTTCCCACGTTGCCTAATGAGTGATAAGCATTGGGGGATAACAAACTACTTATGATTACTAGACTAAATGATGCAAGTGCATATGCAAACTAATTTTGAGATTTGTAAGTGTGTAGGTAACATATAAAAGTTTAATATTCATGGAAAATATAGCTTGAGATGTTTATAATAACCTGATGTTTTAAGTATGTCTGCTCCACCATCTGTTAATGGTAGACTCACAAAAATAAATCTTCTAAGGGTCACTATGACACCCAATAACAGGACTACCACGGTCACAGGGGTCACAGCTGCTCCCCCCACTCCAGGGGGCCCGGACGCCCTGCAAACCCCTGTTACCATGTGCCCGCCGCCATGTGTTGCGGCCCCGGCCCGTGCGCCCTGTTAGGGCCACCCGATAGAAATTAATTTCCAGGGGGCCCGGTCAGCATTGTGGACATCACAGCTGGGAGGAAATGACTGCCCTTAGCTTACACCGGTAGCCGCGCGGGAGGAAGAGTAGGGAGTTAGAGTGGGAACTGTCTGTATGTATGTGTGCCTGTATGTGTGTGTCTCTGTACATGTGTGTGTTTATGTGTGTGTCTGCATCTGTATCTCTTTGTCTGCCTGTGTGTGGGGGGGGGTAGACATATGGGGGAGGGCCCAGGGCAGTTTTTGCACCGGGCCCCCGGGCCCCCGGGGTTTCTAGTTACACTTCTGATGACACCTCTTGGTCACATAAGTTATTACCAATTGGAAAGCCAACAAAATGTTATTATTTTTTTTTATTTTTTTAAGGAAGCCCTGCTTACCCTTAGATCACTACTTACACATGATTACGAGGCTCCGATCCTGCAACTGCTCTTATTAACATTATAATTTTTTTATGCTCTACTAGTTTCTAGTTAATACTTTGTTAAGGGTATAACCATTACATTTTTTTCTAACTTGTTTCTATTTCACTTTCTTTACAAAATATTGTATTTTAACAGCACACTGTGAACATTCTCCTTCCTACTTTCATATTCAAAGTCTGTTTTTATAAAATGAAACAGTTGCATGTTATCATGTGACATAAATTGAGGACATTGAAACTTATTTAGTGAATTCAGTAACTAGGGTGTTTTTTCATCCCAAACAACACATAAAGCCATGGAAAATCATTACATTTGTGAATAACACATTATGCAATAAAAGTATAAAAATAAAAAAATGCTTTTAAGTGCTACATTACCAAAGCTCCTACAAAAAAGCGGCAATTTGCATCTCTTTTTTCCTTTGTACACAATATATGTTACAATCTGCAGTCTATGGTTTTATTGTGATTTCTGGATCCCCGCGGATTGAGTGAGTACCACACTCATTCTTCTTTTTTTTTATTCTAAATTTTTTATTGGGAATAGTATAACATATGAGCTTGCGAGGCAACAATAGCTGTAGCAAGCACAAAATGATCAACATAGGTTACACATACATGACTATAAGTTTGAGCACAAATTTTGTTAATTTTTAAAATACTGCATAGATTAACAGACCAGGCATATTTTTTTTTTTAAATGAGAAACTAAACTAGAATTATAAACAGAGGCTCAAAATGTGAGAGACAAAAGAGAACATAGTTGTCTGTATTTTGTCCCTATTTGCACAGGTAAGTAAAAAAGGTGTACAATACTGCAGGTGGACTATGTCGTAATACCCAGTAATAACCATGCTGGATCATTCATAACGATAAGAAGCCTTAGGTATTGGGACATTGGAGCTCATTGCGGTTAACTGAACAAGATTTAGTAGTGTGATCAGTGTGCATCACATGCCCTAGGGAGTTGTGGAATAGTAATTGGTCTATAGTGTTGCGTGTGGGCATGGGGCTACATATGCCTATGAGTATTTGGTAAGGTGGAAGGAGGTTGGTGATTTGTCAGCTCTGAGAACTGCTTGGTCGCAAGGGGTGGGGGAGGTGGTTAGAAGTTGATCGGTTTCAGGTCTTCAACCTGTTGGTGATTTAGTGTGCATGAGGGGTGGAAAAATAGTTTGCCCAAGAGCACTTCGTGGGTGGAAGGTGGAACACACCAAGTACCATATTTTACTAAACTAAGTAACAAAATAACTTGTGAAACATGCAAACAAAGGTACTGTGTATAGCAGAATCTGCAAAAGTCATGGTGCTGATGTTGCTGAGATGTCTCTTCACCAGGCTGTTGGCACAAACAGTGTGATCCTATCAGGGTCCCAGGCAGTGGATGCTGTTGCAAGCCCAATGGTAGACTGCTGGAGGCTTTAGTGGTTAGGCCAAGTTGTTGCAGGATGTCAGCTCTCTCTGATGCATCTCGGACATGTAGTGGTCCCGTAGCCCTGGAAGTGAGCAGGCATCGCGGAGTGCTCAATTTATATGGCACCTTGTGGTTAGTGAGTTCCTGGGTCAGGGGTCTCATGGACCGTCGCCAGTCGATGGTGGCTTTAGAAAGATCTGCGAAAAAAGTAAGGTTGTGTTCCTCAAACGTGAGACAAGATCTGTTGCGAACTGCTGCCATGAAGATTGTGCAGTCTAGGCTCAGTTGGAACCACAGTATTACGTCTCTGCCTGCCCCCATCTTTAAAAGTGGTGGCCCTGCAATTTGGTGGCATCCATCCAGGAGCATTGATTTGGCCTGTCTAACAGGAAACAAAATGGTAAGCAGTCGGCGTATGACATGGGGAGTTCCGCCGAGTCAATACTGGCAGGTAGGCCATGGATTTTAACATTTTTAAAGCGAGGCTTGTCTTTAAGTACCCCCATTTTTTCATGAGTGTGCGCCTGTGCTGTCAGTCTGCTCTCGAGCATCAATGCGGGTCTCGTGGGCCACAGTTTTCACCTCTGAATTGTGGAAACATGCCAAGACACCATTGATTTCCCCACGGAACTGCCCAATGTCTGTGGTGATGTTCCAGTGGAGTTCATCCATGAGGCTCCGTAGGGTGTCCTGTGTTACCGGTGATTTTCCAGATGGTGGTGAGTGAGTGGCTCTGCTTGCCTGTCGTGCCTGTAGGGTCACTGCGCTCAGGAGGGACTACTCACTAGATGTACACGAGGGGCCATCCGACAGCAGCGCCATTTCAGCCTCTGTGAGTTTTGCGGCCTCCACAGTAAGTCGTCGATATCCGCTGTTGACGGGGGTCGATCAGGCTTATACTTCTTGTTCTGACACTCCATGTCTGTAGGTATGGTTGGTGCTCAGAATGTTTCCATTTGGAGGGGTATTCCATAGGTTTCTGGCAATTTAGGGTTATTTCCACCCGGAGCACGTGCTACCACATTCATTCTAATTAAATAATAACTCATAGGGGGTCTAAAAAATAGGGCAATGCCCGATTCAACTTTATTTTTTGTAATGTAGTATTTTATTGATTTGCTATTTAATGTATACCAAGAGCAAACAATAATTGTAGGCCAGGGCCAGAAAACCAAGCTAGGTTGAGCGGTGAGCACCAGTTCACTTACAAGGTTACTCAATTAACTCAGAATTTTATCAAATTAAATCCGAGTGTTAAAACTAAGGTAAAACTTGACAAGTTGTTAATATGACTAAGTGGGAGCATTTTTCCAGATCAGTTTTTATACTTTACCTTTTCCATTCAGATTTAATTCAAGAAATTTCAGAGTTCAGTGAATAACCCAGTCTGTTTTTTTTATTCATTTTATTTTCTGATAACGAAACATTTATTGGATGCAATATTTGGTTCATTTTATTTATATGATATATATCAGTGTCATTTTGCACTTTGTTTTTGCATACTAGTTTTCAGTATACACCCATTCACACACATATATTTACATATACATGTTCAAACTTATGTAATAAAAACAAAACACTAAGCCCTCAATGAGTACTATCATAGCAACCTACTTTTCAACCCTTACCTATTGTGTCACATTACCCCACTCCCTCTAACATGTAAGCTCATTGAGCAGAGCCCTCAATCCCTCTGTTCCTCTGTGTCCGACTCATCTGGTTATAAATATGTGTCTGTTAGTCCACCCGTTGTACAGAGCTGCAGAATTTGTTGGTGTTTTATAAATAATAATAATAATAGTAATATCCACCTGCTAAACCCTTCCTTCCTACCATAACCAAATACCTCTGCTTAAAAGAACCTGCACATTTTACATCAATAAATCCAATAAACTAAAAGTCCTTTATTCCCAAGAGTGAATGTGCTATGACAAATTGTTCTCAAACTAACGACAAATCATGTGGTTTCTAAATGAGTCAGCATCACCATTAAAGTTAGATCATTTGTCAGAGACTTACGCAATGCGCTGCGTTCATTGTGAATGTAAATACGTCCCTCATTATCCCAGATTCCATTCTCCGATAGCAGAAATAATGATTAGGGCAAAGTCATAGCAGAAGAAAAAAATGTTTATTTTGCAGTTTAGAAAAGCAATTATATAAATCATTATTAATATATTCATTTATATATGTTAGGATGTTATTTCCTGTTTTTGGCTCTGAAATGTAGCAAGACAACACAAGAATCGTCATCTATGTGCGTACTATTTGGTCAAATGCTCATTAAGAACTATGCATAGAGATGCTTTCGAAGTTCAAATTAAAACCTTAATATCTGAAGACTTTGAGAAACCTTTGATCCATGTGTGCTTAAAGCAGTTCTTGTGAAAATGGGTCTCGTGTAATAACATTTAAATAAATACTTTAACAAGGTAAAAAGATAATCTTTTTCAAAAGTTTGTTGATTTTATTGTCAAAAGGGAAAATATTATACTTGTGGTTTAGGTAAAACATTGTTACTTGCAATTGTACCCTTGTTAATGTTTACTCTCCAAACGTATACTCTCAAAAGTTCTTTAAAAAAATATTTTCTAAAATAGACCAGGTCAAAAAAGGAATCCTGTTGATTGATGGGGACATGAATATGATACCAGATATATAAGCAGATAAAACATCGAAATATTGCATGAAGGCATCAGAAAGGGGGAGTAAGAGGACTAGAATTTCCTTCCAGGACGTCCTGCATGAATTGGGCCTATTTGACATCTGGAGGGCACAACACCCTAACGATCGCGATTTTACTTTTTTTTTTTTTTTTATTTCACAAATCTTATTCAAGAATTGATCAATTTTGAACTAAAAGCTGCAAACTGGTTGAATTTCGGAAATAAAAAAATGTATATAATTACTTGGTCTGATCATGCCCCAATACTTGTACAGATAGTGGAAAATGGGCCGAGGGAGGGTAGAACTTCCTGGAGGTTGAATGAACAACTTATAAATTAGGATGGAACCCTCAAGTATCTGCTAAGACAGGCTGAATAATTCTTTTTGAATAATGACAATAATGAGATTAGTGGAGGCATACTATGGTGTGCCTTCAAAAGTTTCATGCAAGGTATTCTCATTAAGTTGGGGGCCCAATGCAAGTGGGAAAGATTTAAATGATTTGTATATTGTTTTAGCTAAATTGGAGCAGGAAAATACAAAAATGACTACAGATCTGAGATCAGCTCCAGTTAGGGAGACTCAACTGGAAATAAGAAATAAATCAGAAATAAAAATAAGGACCCCATAATAAAATTGAACCAACGTTGGTATTATGGGGATAGTAGAGTTAGCAACCATTTTTCGGACAAACTTAAGTTTAAAAAAAGAAGCCAAATAATTAGGGAGACAAAGTTAATATCTCTCCATCAGATATAGGTACAGCTTTTGCCTCATATTACATGGCTCTCTATAATCACCCATCAGAACGGGAAACCTCAGAAGCAAGGCGCGAGTTTCTCAAAAAATTTAAATTACCAAGATTGAGCGATGATGACTTGAGGAAATTGAGTTCTCCTCTGACCCTGGATGAGATCTCTAAATCTATTAAAGACCCGAGGGCCGGTTGGTTACACAGACAGTTTCTATAAGATAATGGAACCTACCATAGCTCCAATCTTACTAAAAGTATTTGGAGAAATAAATAACGGTTGCCCATTCCCATTGGAGATGCTACAAGCCTGTATAGCCCTGATTCCTAAGCCAGACAAAGATCATAATTCCGTCACTAATTATCGCCCCATATCCCTGTTGAATACCGATATTAAAATATTTTCCAAAATCCGGAGGGATTAAAGGATTTAATTCCCAAATTAGTTCATCCTGATTACACTTTTTTTTGTTAAGGACCATGAGGGAGGCCATAATGTTCGCAAACTGTTACATCTGATCCATATCTGCAAATCTGTTTCCTCCATGGTGGCCTTTGTGGCTCTGGACGCTGAAAAGGCCTTTGACAGAGTTAGCTGGTGCTGTCAGATGTCTTGGAGGTGTTCAGAGTCACAGGGCCTATACTGCATAGGATTATGAGTCTCTATACTCCTCCATCTGCTAGGGTCTCGGGAAACTGGTTCAACTCAGAATGGTTTGGGGTAGCTAATGGGATGAGGAAAGGGTGCCCATTGGCCCCAATGTTTTATGCACTTTCAATAGAACCCTTGGCTGCTTATTCAGGAGGAGGAAATCCTGGGAATTCGCTATGGCGACCAGACTTCAAAGATCATGTTATATGCAGATGATGTAGTTCTGACACTTTCTAATCCAGAAACCTCTCTGTTGGCAGCTTTGAAATGCATTCATGATTTTGGTAGAATCTCTAACTATAAATTAAATTTCAAAAATTGTCCTGATTTACCAACTGCATAGATTGGGAGATTCTTACCCATTTAATTGGTTTACGAATGAAATGCTTTATTTGGGGATAAAATTAAGTTTCAATTAGTTTAAGATAGTAAGCAATAATTATAACGACTTTTATCAGGCCTTAAACCTTACCATAAACAAATGTGGTTATTTATATATATTGTGGCTGGGGAAAATAAACTCAGTACGAGCTTATTTAGTCCCTAAACTGGAATACCTATTAAGAACTCTTCCTATGAGAGTACCCAAACGTATGCTACATGAATTCCAGGATTTATTTATTACGTTTGCATGGGGGAGGCGCAGACCCAAAATGTCCTCTTCAAATGTGTCCCACAAATTAAAAGATGGGGGAACATCCCTGCCCGATGTATACTTGATTTATGTCTCCATAATGCTATCCTATTTGATTAAATGTAAATTTAAGGTCCCAGAAAATTATTTATGGTTAGGTTATGAAAGACAAGTTTTATCCAACAAGAACCCTTTTTTCTTGCTTTAGGCAGATAACTTGGCTATAAAACAACTTAATGTGGTAAATAAATGTATCATGGTACCCATCTTGTAAGACGGAAGCATAATAGTAAAGAATGTATCTCCTTAAGGGGTTAAAATTGGAATTTTGGAAAATTGATGAGTATTGAAAAATTTAAATTAAAAATACAATTGCATATGCTTAAAATAATTTTCACAAATGATTTGCAATGGAAAGCAATGTAGAAACTAACTAGAAATGTTGGCCAAAGAAGACAAACTAGAAAGGTAATTGAGATACAGCATTATTCCA